CAAAGTTGACATGAGGGAAGGGGGAATCCAAGCAGTAAGCAAGAAAGTTCCAGAAGGTGAGAAGTGCTAGGATGACAGACCAAAGTGAGAATGGTGGACTAGAGTAATAAGAGAGCTGGGCACCCGTGGCTCACGCCTGTCATCCCAGCTACTCAGGAGGCTGAGAGCTGAGGATCGCGGTTCAAAGCCAGCCCGGGCAGGAAAGTCTGTGAGACTCTGATCTCCAGTGAACCACCAGAAAACCACAAGTGGCGCTGTGGCTCAAGTGGTAGAGCGCTCGCCTTGAGCTGAAGAGCTGAGGGACAGTGCCCAGGCCCAGAGTTCAAGCCCTATGACCCACCAAAAAAACAAAACAAAACACAAGCAACACAGCACTGTGTTTTTGGGAGAAGCGTCTCTCAGGTGAGATTCAAACACCATCACAAACACTGTGAGCCTGGGCATCCCAGACAGAACTGACAACCACAGATGGAAAGGCCCACAAAACTCTGATCTTGAATGAACCAACAGAAAGATAGAAGTGTAGGGATGGCTCATGTGGTTGAGCACCAGCCTGGAGAGGAAAAGGTCTAGCAAGATTACAAGGCCCAGAGTTTAAGCCCCAGTTACTGGTGAATCTCACAGACACACACACACACACACACACACTCACACACACACACACACACAGTGTGGCTATGCTGGGCAGGGAATCAAAATCAGGATGGACCAATCATGAATTCTACAGTCCTGGGATGGATTAATCATGAGCCTACTAGTCTTAGGGGTGGACCAATCATGAGCCTAACAGTCTTGGGATGGACCAATCATGAACCTTAAAATCGTGGGATGGACTAATCATGAACTTTACAGTCCTGGAATGGACCAACCATGAGCTTAACAGTCTTAGGGGTGGACCAATCAGGAGAGCCTTACAGTCTTAGGGAGTAGACTAATCATGAGCTTTACAGTCTTGGGCTGGACCAATCATGAGCTTTACAGTCTTAGGGGTGGGCCAATTATGAGCCTTACAGTCTTGGGATGGAGCAATCATGAGCTTTACAGTCCAGAGATGGACCAGTCATGAGCTTAACAGTCTTAGGGGTGGGCCAATCATGAGCCTGACAATCTTAGGGGTGGACCAATCATGAGCCTCACAGTCTTGGGGTGGACCAATCATGAGCTTAACAGTCTTAGGGATGGACCAATCAGGAGAGCCTTACAGTCATAGGGAGTAGACTACTCATGAGCTTTACAGTCTTGGGCTGGACCAATCGTGAGCTTTACAGTCTTAGGGGTGGGCCAATTATAAGCCTTACAGTTTTAGAGATGGACCAATCGTGAGCCTTACCATCTTGGGATGGACTAATCATGAGATTAACAGTCTTGGGCTGGACCAATCATGAGCTTTACAGTCTTAGAGGTGGGCCAATTATGAGCCTTACAGTTTTAGGGGTGGACCAATCATGAGCCTCACAGTCTTAGGGGTGGACCAATCATGAGCCTCACAGTCTTAGGGCTGGACCAATCATGAGCCTCACAGTCTTAGGGGCGTGTCAGTTCCCTGGTGCTCACCTCCAGGCAGCCAGCCCTGAGGTTCCCCGGTCATGGGGGCAGTGGGCTGTATCAGCAGGTGCCTGTTCCTGCCTCATTCTAGAAGCCAGATGACTCCTCCGGGAGCAGATGGGCCACGAAGCGGGGCGACCCGCGGCCCGGGCCATGCATGCACTAGCAATGGCTTCGTTACTTCTTTCTGGGGGCCGGCTTGCTTCTTCGCTTCAATCTGGTTGACAAAGAGCACAGGAAAAGTCAGCACAGCACTCAGCTGAGACAATGTCTCCACCCTCAGACAAGGTGAGGGACAGAGGGCTCTGCAGCAGTGGGGGTGCTGGGCGAACGCAGGCAAACGTGGGAAAACTCAGTGTCATTCCTCAGACCGTGCAAAGTCCACACGGAGAAGGAGGGACATCCGGGCACCTGGGGCTCAAGCCTGGCATCCCAGCTGCTCAGGAGGCTGAGAGCTAGAGGATCACAGTTCGAGGCTAGGCCAGGCAGGAAAATCTGTGAGACTCTTTATCTCCAATGAACCACCAGAAAACTGGAGGTGGAGCCATAGATGGCTCAAAAGTGGTAGAGCACCAGCTTTGAGAAAACAAAGCTCAGTGCCCAGGCCCTGAGTTCAAGTCTCACGACTTGAATAACACCAGGAAACAGGTACTTGATAGGAATGAGGGTTAAGGGGAAATAGTGGATGGATGAAGAAGAGAAGAATGCAGTCAAGAATTCAATGTAGGGGGTGAGAATGTGGCTCAGTGGTAGAGCGCTCGCCTAGCACGCAAGAAGCCCTGGGTTTGATTCCATAGTACCACAGACAGAAAAAAGCCGGAAGTGGCGCTGTGGCTCAAGTGGTAGAGCGCCAGCCTTGGGTAAAAAAAGCTCGGAGACAGTGCCCAGGCCCTGAGTTCAAGCCCCAGGACTGGCAAATTTAAAGAGAGGGAGAGAGAAAGAAGCTAGTCCCGCTAAGCTAGAGCAGATGACTGGGAAGCTGGCTAGTGTGCTGCCGTCTCCACGGGCCGCCTCCTGCACACATTCCCTCTGGCTGCGCTTCCTCTGTGAAGCCTCGAACCCTTAGGCAGAGGTAATAACTCCACTGAGGTACCCAGTGTCCAGGGAGCATCGTGATCATGGCAGTATGAGAACATTCACACCCCGCCGGCCCGATCAGCCAGTCTCTTCCCGGGCCCTGGGAGTTACAAATTACATGGTTTCTTGTCTGCCATCTTTCTTTTCCCTAGAACGGCAGAAAGAACCTTAGACATAGGTGGTAAGGTGTGTTGAGTGACGGAATAAAGTGGTGGATGGATGATGGGTAATGGACAAATGTGATGGGTGAGTGGGTGGATGGATGGGTGGATGGATGGGTAGGTAGATGGGTGGGTGGATGGATGGGTGAGTGGGTGGGTGGATGGGTAGGTGGATGGATGGATGGATGGGTAGGTGCATGGGTGGTTGGGTGAATGGATGGATGGGTGGATGGACGGATGGGTAGGTGCATGGATGGATGGATGGGTGGGTGGGTGGGTGGATGGATGGGTGGATGGACAGGTAGGTGGTTGAGTGGATGGGTGGGTAGATGGTTGGGTGGATGGGTAGATGAGTGGATAGATGGGTGGGTGGATGGTTGGGTGGATGGATGGATAGATGGGTGGATGGATGGGTAGGTGGATGGGTGGATGGGTGGGTGGATGGATGGATGGATGGATAGGTGGGTGGGTGGATGGGTGGAAGGATGGGTAGATGGCTGGATGGCTGGATGACTGGATAGGTGGATGGGTGGATGAGTGGATGGATGGATGTGTGGGTGGGTGGATGGGTGGCTGGATAGGTGGGTGGGTGGATGAATGGGTGGATGAGTGGATGGATGCATGGATGGATGGGTGGATGGGTGGATGGATGGTAGATGGATGGATGAGTGGGTGAGTGGATGGATGGATGGGTGAGTGGATGGATGGGTGGGTAGGTGGATGGGTGGATGGATGGGTGGGTGGATGGATAGATGCATGCATGCATACACGGATTGATGCATGGATGGATGGATGGGTGGGTAGGTGGACGGGTGGGTGGATGGATGGATGGGTAGGTGAGTGCAGGGATGGATGGATGGATTGGTGGTTGGGTGGGTGAGTGGATAAATGGATGGATGATGGGTCGGTGGGTGGATGGGTGGGTGGATGGATGTGTGGGTGGGTGGATGGGTGGATGGATGGATGGGTGGGTAGGTGGATGGGTGGATGGATGGATGGGTGGGTGGATGGATGGATGCATGCATGCATACATGGATGGATGGATGGATGGATGGATGGATGGATGGATGGATGGATGGATGGGTGGGTAGGTGGATGGGTGGGTGGATGGATGGATGGGTGGGTGAGTGCAGGATTGGATGGATGGATTGGTAGTTGGGTGGGTGGGTGGACAAATGGATGGATGATGGGTGAGCGGATGGATGGGTAGGTAGGTGGATGGATGGATGGATGGATGGGTGGGTGGAGGGAGGGATGAATGGATGGATGCATGCATGCATGCAAGCATACATGGATGGATGGGTGGATGGATGCATGGGTGGGTAGGTGGATGAGTGGGTGGATGGATGTATGGATGGATGGATGGATGGATTGGTAGATGGAGGGATGGATGGATGGGTGGGTGGGTAGGTGGATAAACGGATGGATGGGTGGATGGTGAGTCAGTGGGTGGATGGATGGATGGATGGATGGATGGATGGGTGGGTGGGTGGATGGATGGATGGATGGTGAGTCGGTGGGTCGATGGATGGATGGTGAGTCGGTGGGTGAGTGGGTGGATGGATGCATGGGTGGGTAGGTGGATGAGTGGATGGATGGATGGATGGATGGATGGATGGATGGATGGATGCGTAGGTGGAGGGATGGATGGGTGGGTGGGTGGGTGGGTGGGTGGATGGGTGGGTGGGTGGATGGATGGATGGGTGGGTGGGTGGATGGGTGGATAGATGGGTGGATGGATGGATGGGTGGGTGGATGGGTGGGTGGATGGTGAGTCGGTGGGTGGGTGGATGGGTGGGTGGGTGGGTGGGTGGGTGGGTGGATGGGTGGATGGTGGATGATCTTCCCACTGAGATTCACATGGGATGTAGTTGGGATCGTGGGTTAGGGCTGAGAAATTCAATGGCGCCCTGTCCCTTTTCTCATCCCCCAGTCCCCTCATCCCTCTCTGTGTGTGGCGTAGGGGTCGCTGGGTCGCTGGTTTATCGGGGCTTTCGCGGGTCAGCCAGCCCGGGGTGGACCAGGGGCAACGGGGTGAACACAGGAGCCACGCCAAGGGTTTTGCAGCCACAGAGGGGATTTAATGGGGGGCTGGGGTCACACACACACATGGGAGAGGGCGGGGCCTGGTCCCCCCCTGGTCCACCCGACGCGCGGCCACTGACCTGAGGCCCCGGGGGTGTGTGTGTGCTGGGGACGGACGGGTGCGGGGCGAGATCAGAACCTAGAGGCCTTGGCGGGCGAGGCCCCCCGGCCCGGGCCCGAGCCCCGCAGGGGGCTCCTCCTCGCTGCAGGCTGCTGGGCTTTCTGCCTGGGCCGCTGCTTGGCTGCTGGTGGAGGTGGTGCTCGAACCTCTGGCCGAGGCCGTGGCTGACGCTCCGTCCTCGGAGGGGACCGCGGCTTGCTGGGCGCTCTGGCCACGGCAGGGGGCGAGGCTGGCCGGGGCTGGGGTCTCTGGGGGGACCTGGCACGGCGTCGGGTGCTGGGGAGCCAAAAGACACCACGGCCGTCCATGGGCCTAGCTACTTCAAGGAGGCTGAGGTCTGGAGGATCGCGGGTGGAGGCCAGCGCCGCGCGCAGGGAGGGAAAGGCTCCAAGAGGCTTGATGTCCAACAAACCATGGCCCAACACCCAGATATGGAGCTGGGGCTCGGAGCTGGAGAGCCAGAGAGCTCAGGGACAGCACGCAGGCCCTGAGTTCAAGCCCCAGCACGGACGTAAAATAGGCAAGAAAGGAAGGGAGGAAGGAAGGGACTGGGGGCCGCAGCCAGGGATTCCCTGTTCTTTTTCTTTCTTCTTCTTTTTTTTTTTTTTTAATTTATTTCCTTTGCCCATCCTGGGACTTGAACTCAGGACCTGGACGCTGTCCCCGAGCTCCTTTTGCTCAAGGCTAAGCTTTCCCCTTGAGCCACAGGGCCACTTCTGGCTTTTTCTGTGTCTGTGGTGCTGAGGAATCGAACTCAGGGCTTCATGCATGTGAGGCGAGCGCTCTACCACTGAGCCACCTTCCCAGCGCCTCACCCCAGACGCCTGTCACAGTGAAGAACCCATCTAAGGAGGCGGGTCTGCACATGGGCCCCGCTGCAGCCTTGCAGAGCAGGCTAACAAGGGTGCTAGGCAGGGCAGAGGGCGGCGTGGACCGGGAAGGGGGGGTGGGGAGGGGCTGGGGGCCGGTGCCTGGGCTCACCTGGTCTTCTGGCAGGCGCAGCAGATCCAGTCCTCCTCCTTCTTCTGGTAGAAGCAGCCGCTCCTGCACAGGCTGTACTTGCGGTCTACGATCTCCCGCTTGGAGTTGAGGAAGGTGAAGGGCGGGCAGCAATGGATGCTGAAGTGCTCGGAGAACTTCTGGTTCTTGGAGAGGCGGGGCCCTTCCTTCGCCATCTTCTGGCTCATCTCACTGGGGAAGGGAGAGAGACAGAGAGAGACAGAGTCAGAGAGAAACAGAGACGGGGAAGGGGGGGAAACTGAGGCCAGGACTGGTCCAGCCCTCTCCCACAAACCCAAATTAATAATTCAGGATGGCATCTACAAGCAAAGTTCTGGAAATCCCACCTCAGCCCTGTCCTGTGTGACAGAAACAAACGAAATCAAGCCTTTTAGGTACGTATATATGCATGATTTGCTTAGGTCGGTCGTGGGGCTTGAACTCAGGGCCTGGGTGCTCTCCCTGAGCCTCTCTGCGTTGTGTGCTGGAGCTCTACCACTTGAGCTACAGTGCCCCTTATGGCTTTTGGGCTGGTTCATTGGAGATAAGAGCGTTTCATGGACTTTCCTGTCTTGGGCTGGCCTCGAACTGCAATCCTCCAGATCTCAGCCTCCTGAGTAGCTGGGATGACAGGCCTAAGTTCCCGGCTGCTAGCTTGCTATTATATTTACTGCCTGAAAATCAGGGCCGGGAAGACCAAGTTGTCTTCCATCTCCCGAGAGGACAGCCCAACAAAACGTACTCCCAAACTAAACACCAGTGGCTCCTGCCCATCATCCCAGCCACTCAGGAGGCTGAGATCTGGAGGATCGCAGTTCAGGGGCAGGAAAGTCTGGGAGACTCTCAATCTCCAATGAAGCAGCAAATAGTCGGAAGTGGCGCTGTGGCTCAAGTGGTAGAGAGCCAGCGTTGAGTGCGAGGGAACAGTGCCCAGGCTCCGAGTTCAAGCCCCAGGACCAGCACGTGCGAGCACGCACACACACACACACACACACACACACACACACACACACACGTTTTAAACGTTGGCTGACTGACTATTTGACCATAACTACGGCCTCCCTCAGTTCAGACACAGGCGAGAGCTGGCAGGAGAGAGGTGTACCTGATTTTTCCTCCGTCGGCATAGGGAGATCAGCTCTTGGCCAGGAGCTTCCCGGGAGAGCATTGGCCTCTTGCCTTCCTGAAATCAAAGCAGCGGAACAGGTTCTAGTTAATCACCTCTATGGCCAGGCTCACGCCAGTCATCCCAGCTACTCAGGAGGCTGAGATCCGGAGGATCGCCATTGGAGGCCAGCCCCGGGCAGGAAAGTCTGTGAGATGCTTATCTCCAAGGAACCCCCCGGGGAAAAAAAAATAAAAACCAGAAGTGGAGCCATGTTCAAATGGTAGAGCGCCAGCTTTGAGTCAAAGAAGGTCAGGGACAGCGGCCAGGCCCTGAGTTCAAGCCCCAGGCAAAAACCAACAACAACATAAAAGAACAACTTGGTGCCAATGGCTCACATCTGTCTTCCCAGCTACCCAGGAGATCTAGAGGACTGTGGTCCAAAGCCAGCCTCGGGAGCAAGAAAAGTCCTGTGAGATTCCTCTCCAAAGAACCAGCAAGACGAACCAAAAATAAATCAGAAGTGGCGCCGTGGCTCAAATGGTAGAGCACCCGCGCTGAGCACAGAAGCTCACGGTCCGCACACAGGCCTCAAGTTCAAGCTCCAGGGACGGGCACTAAAAATTTCAAAACAAACACAATCCTTTCTCCCATTTTCTTCCTGGTGCACAAGCTAAGCTCCCACCATTGCACCCCTAAAAAGTAAAATCTCCCCATGAGTTCCAAACCAGGGAACGTGTTTCTTTGCAGATAGGAATTAGAAAAAAAAAAAAACAAATGTTTAATTTAGGGGCCACGCTTCCAGCTAGTCAATTTCTGCCAACGTGGAGCCCTGGCTGCTGGAAGATGGAAGACAATAATAATAATTATTATTATCATTAATAATAATAATAAGGAAATTCAGGGGAGGGAATTTTCTTACCTCCCAATAGCTGCGTGGGTCTGTGTCTCTGTGGGTTGTCTGCGTGTCAAAGCCGGACCCCGATGCCCTGCAGAAGAAATATAAATACATGTATAAGGGACACATTTTTATATCTGAGTGTCTCCCCACACAATGGGGGTGCCTTGTCCTGGGGTGCGCTCCACCCCCTTGCCCTTCCATGGAGATGCATCTCCCGACAAAAGCTGACACAGAGAAGACAAAGAAAAAAAGACACAACAACCCCACAGCCGGTCAACAAAGGCGGACAGAGAGCACAAAGAAAGAGAATGAAATCAATAAGCGAAACACAAAGGCCAAAGCCAGCCCCGGGAAACAAAGGAGCGACACACAGGCCTGCACAACACAAAAAGCCAAACAAACCCTGGGAGACAAAGACGGGACACAAAGGCCAAAGAATGTGGGAACAAAAGGGAAACTGAGTCACGGCCTTGCATACCCCCCCCCCCCCCACAGAGCCAAGCGTCACATTTCCTACACTGACCTCTACGCACTTGATTTCACACGAAGCCTTGTCGAGTCTAGCTACCACCAAAACCAGGTTGGGCTGGGATCTCTCTCCATGCCTTACCCTGGACACTGAGGAAGGAGGCTGGGATCCCGAGGATCGTGGTTGGAGGCCAGGCCCGGGGCAGGAAAGTCGGTGAGAATTCCCATTCTGATGAATCCACCGGAAAACCAGAAGTGGAGGTGTGGCTCAAGTGGAAGAGTGCCCAGCCTTGAACGAAAGAAACTCAGGGAACAACACCCAGGCCCTGAGTTCAAGCCCCAGGACTGGTAAAAACAAAACAAAGCAGAAAGGGGAAAAAAAAAAAAGACAAATAATAGGCCAGAGATTTTTCAAGGACAATACAAGTTTGGCTGTATTAAAGATGAAAACTGCCTCTTGTTATGTAAATGCCTCTCAAACCATTTTCTTTTTGTTTTGGCCAGTCCTGGGATTTGAACTCAGGGCCTGGACACTGTCCCTCAGCCTCTTTGTGCTCCAGGCTGGCGCTCTACCACTGGAGCCACAGCTCCACTTCTGGCTTTTGGGCAGATTCATTGGAGATAGAGAGTTTCATGGACTTTCCTGCCTTGGTCTGGCCTCGAACCGCGATCCTCCGGATCGCAGCCTCCCGAGGAAGCTGGGATGGCCGGCGTGAGCCGCTGGTGCCTGACTCTGGCTCCGTTTTTCCTGACTGTAGGTGACATTCCCGTCTTATACTCCCCATGCTGGCTTTCTGGATACGTAGGGCACAGCCTGCATCTCCACCCTAACCCTCAGGGAACAGGGGGCCACCCGTCCCGGGCTTTCAGGGCTGGACACGGGGACTCTGTACCAGCCGTGGAGCCCACAGCTTTTGCACACACAAAGCGCCTGTGTGTCCCCATGGCAGGCGCCCCGTACCTCCTTCTGCTTCCCTGCCCCAGGGAGGACCTGGGGAAGAATGAACACTGTGTTCCTCCAGGAAGGGACTGGAAGGAGTCCAAGTCTCTCTCTCTCTCTGTGTGTCCATTTTGGGACTTGAACTTGGGGCCTGGGCGCTGTCCCTGAACCTCTTTTTGCTCTAGGCTGCTGCTCTACCACTTAAGCCACAGCACCACTTCTGGCTTTTGGTGGTTCACTGGAGATCAGAGTCTCTCGGGACTTTCCTGCCCCAGCGCTGGCCTCCAACGACGATCCTCCGGATCTCAGCCTCCTCTGGAGTAGCTGGGCCGGCCGGCATGAGTCACCGGCCCCAGGCTGCCATGCCATTTCTAACAACTATTTTCACAGGAGTCTGAATGTCGTTAGCAACCGTGAATCTTGGTATAAAGGACTCCAGGGTCACCAAGAGCTCCAGGGTGTCATTTTCCTTCTCGGTCTTTCCATCACTTGTCCCGAGCCGCCAGTGAGTCTTTCATTATAAGTGGATTTATTTGCACAGGGAGAATACATTCTAATATTGGATTTCCCACTCTTGGGAAATCCTCTATTCTCAGTGCATTGAAGATTTTTCCCTCGCCTGACAGAATATGAATTAAATCAGCTTAGCTAAAAATGCAGACAGAGCCAGGCACCAGTGGCTCACGTCTGTCATCCCAGCTACTGCGGAGGCTGAGATCTGGAGGACTGCAGTTCAAAGCCCAGCCCTGGCAGGAAAGTCTCACCAAAAAGCTAGAAGTGGTATTGTGGCTTAAAGTGGTCAAGCACCAGCCTTGAGCACAAAAGAGGCTCAGGAACAGAACCAGGCCCTGAGTTCAAGTCCCAGAATTGGCTATAATAACAATAACAATAATAATAATAGTAATGAAATAAATAAACCCAGCCAAACTCCGGTGGCTCCCACCTGTCATCCCAGCTACTCAGGAGGCTGAGATCTGGAGGATCACGGTTGGAGGTCAGCCGAGGCAGGAAAGTCCGTGATACACTTAGCCCTCACGAGTCACCAAAAGGCCAGACAGGGAGTTGTGGCTCAAGCAGTAGAGCGCCAGCCTTCACTGAGCTTCTTCTATGGGTTTTTTTCATTGTCCTCTTCCCCCTGCTTTGACTCAACCCCCCCCCAAACCAAAACAAAAAAGCAACCCCCAAACCAAAAACCCCACTAGCTGAGATCCAATTAGCGCCAATTAGAAGTTCCAGAGTCAGCCAGGCCTAGTGACTCAACCTTTGTATTTTTCTCCCCTCTGTGAATCTGATAATACTGGTCCCCCCAAATAGATCCTATCGTGAAAAAGTGTCTCCATAGAGTGGGGTATTTGTTGTCAGTGTGGACAAAAAGAAATCCACTTGGATCAGTTGTTGACCAAAGTTTTTGGACCAAAAAGGAGAAAATCAACTTCGCTGTGCGTGTTCGTGCATGCAGGTTTTCTTCGAGGGAATGAAATAGATGGTCTTTTGTAAAGTGAAATGCAATTATTCTTTCTCCCCGGAGTAAAATGGGCGGAATGGCACTCGTGTGGATGAATTATTGAACTAAGAAGCATACCTGCAGGATTTAGCAATCAAATCAGTAAAGTCTCCCAAACAGGAGTAGATAATGAACAAGTCAGGTTTTATTAGTGTGTGTGTGTGTGTGTGTGTGTGTGTGTGTGTGTGTGTGTGTGTGTGTGTTTGGCCCTGAAGTTTGATCTTAGGGCCTGGGCGCTCTACCTCTTGAGCCACAGCCCTGTGGCCAGCT